ATCCCCTACTTTATTAACTGACTCTGATTTGTTATTTTTTAATATCAGTGAAATCTTGTACTTCGTGCATCAGTGAAAATTTTAGTCAGCCCCCGACAAGATTTTAAAAAGACGACGCCTATGTGTGGAACGATCGCAGGGGAGGAGCTTTTTACGTATACGTGACATTAAGAGAAGTGAATTCGATGAAAATCGAATTATAACGAAACCTCTTTCAGCTGCGCCTATTTCAGTGGTGGAGGAAGCTGATACTGATGAAGAAGCACATGTAGGGATGCTAAACAACGTAATAAGTTGCGGAGGCGGAAAATTTTAAGGGCGGTTGTTTTACTTCAGCCATTGAATTACAAATTTCACGTTGTAAAGATAAAATATTAATGTGGTGGAAAAAATAAACACACCCACTTGGCTTGAATTTAGTGCTTGCATAGAAGATCAGAATTCGTTTAAAGTGACGACGAAATTTATACACAGTTTTAGAAATTAGTTTTCTAATTTAGCTGAGAAGTTAAAGCGAGTTATGCATTTTGCTGACCCCGACTTAGGTGGCGAACAATAAAATTATTTGAACTTAACTTCAATATACAGTAGAACAAAGGAAGATCAATTTGGTATGAACTGCTTCTGATATCTACATTATTCATAACGTCGATCTGACGGTTTTACTTGGAAGACAAAGAGACCCTACTCCATCCCTCGAAGATTATCAGCCATTGTTTTGATGAATATCTTAAGTTTGTAGGTATTTACAATAACAGATTTAACTTGCAATTAAATAATGTTTTGTTGAAACCCACAAGCTTGAAAATCTCTTTGTTCTTGTAGAAATATGTTAGTTAAAGATAATTATATAATATCCGGAGGGTCCCTCTTTGCAACAACAACGCAAAAGTAAAAATGAAAAATTCTCCAACTGTGGAACGAAATATTCGATGAGCATGCTGGTTGAATGGTTTAATAACGCTTCATCAAGCCCAAGTAAGATGAAAATATTAACTAATTTTGAAGTTTAATAAAAATATTAATATTTAGTCGTGGAAAGCAATAACTGAACATATCATTTTAAAACACATTTTTATGGTTGCTTTTGATAGGAGTAACTGTAAACGCTTTTGTATTGTCTGGAAAAGTACAGTTTAAAGCTTTACACTCCGGTGCTATTTTATTGTGAATGCTATAAATGTTCCAGGTGGAATAATAAAATACCCTATTTTGAGTATTCAATAAAATATTGTCAACAATATTCAGTTTTGCCCTGCAGCGTAAATATTACTTTATGGCCGGTTATTAAATTAAAAATTTATAGATTGATAAATGTCATTGGTAAATTCGAAAAGGTACATTATTGACAAAATATGGAAGCTTTGAAACAGCTTGTTATTTCCAGCATTCCTACGTTTAAACGGAAATTCTTATATCAATTTCAATTAAAAAAAAAGTGAAGACATTTCTTTTAGTTAGCTTTTTATATTTTTAACACACGTGGCTTTTGACAGCAATTCGTGGTCTTTGAATAGAAAAAGGAAACCCACACTCTTATAATAGCGTTTGTAGTTTTTGAATTGCAAGAGTTTAAAGTGGAAACGGATCAGTCTGTAATCGCAACCGACTGATCCGGGATATAGGTGAAGCTCAATACTCAATAAAAAACTCGCGGCTGTTAGAATTCGCGGCATATCCAGGTAAAAATTGTTGTTTGATACATTTCTAAAGCCTAAAACGCAATTTTACATCATTATCAAGATGAAAAGAACAGTTTTTTTGCTGTACTCTCTCGTCTGGAAGTTCGCACCAATTCTAAAAAAAGTTCATCTTCAAAGTTCAAAATTGTAATTTGCAGAAGGGATTAACTTGTATCCGTTATAAACCTCCTAATTTATAACAAATTGTTCGTCGTAATTGTTTCGACGCTTTTTGGAAAAGTTGATTCCTATTAATCACTAAAATCACTGCTTAAAATGAAATATTTGGACAACAATTGGAAGTGACAGTTCAACATAATCAGAGTTGAAATGAATTGCACAAAAAAGTGGAAATTTTTAACATCCTAGAAAGTGTTGAAGCTGCAAAAGTTTTGCCTTTGTACTGGATTGATTGATCTTGGAAATCGTAAAAATGCAAACTAAGTTAAAAAAAAAGTCGGTCTCCGTACTGAAATGAATAATGTTTAGATATTAACTACGATCTCAATTGCCCATTTTTTTTTTGCTTAAAGGGGCACATTTGATCTGGTTCTCGTTTAGAATTCCGCCCGTAAAATGTTCAGAAGTGCGGACATTCTTTATCTGCGTAAATACAGTGCATCAGACGAAGACAGAAACAGGAACATACCGGATGTTTCAATTGCTACAATTTTACAACACTTTGCCAGAATTAAAAGAATTCTACCTATTTAGTCTAGATCATTGATCATAATCACTTACCTTGTTACTATTTTTATCGAATAAGTTTTAATTTTTTAAACTCATTTAGATTTGTGAGCAATAATAAACCTGACAATTTTTGATTAAAAAACGTAAGTCATTAAGCAAAAATTACATTTTTTTTTTTATAATTCAGTATAAAAACAACATATTTATGTCATCAAATGAAAAAAAATCAATATTTTTTTCTTCCACGGTAGACCATATTTCTCAGCGATTTATTGTTTTCTGTTAATTTTGAATAAACACAAATTAAATAAAGAATCGTTTCAAACTAAAATATATTGAAAACGATTTTAAAAAGTACAAAATGTAGTAAAACTTATGTTCGTACGAAGCAGAGGTCTGTAGAACAATTCGACTCTTACCGATATTTTCAGTAACTCACTACCAACGAGGGCCAGCGCCTCTCAGACCTTCAGTATGACCTTCCTCAACTGATAAAATTTACGTGCAAATTTATTTATCTCGGCCACTGGATTCGAATATTTTTTTAACAAATAATTGTACGCATTTGTTTACAAAAATAAACCGTTTTTATTGTATGCAATATTCATTTTGTAAAATCATAACCAAGCAGAATTTGAAATATATAAATGTTTGGTATTTTTATCCGACCTACACCCTATTCAACCCTCGTTTATTGTTTCTGCAATGCGTTATTATTTTTATAAAGCATTTGCTGCTTTTAGCAAACATTAACTCATTCAACCCTACGTTTATTATTTTTATAAAACAAATATGACTTAATTTTGTAAAGCATTCACTCGTTTTAGCACAGGTTTATGATTTTTATAAAGTAGTTATTATTTTTACAAGCCATTAACTCATTTTACCGTGCATATCATATTTTTTTAAAACGAGTACTTTTATTGTAGAACATTATTATTTTGGATGCTATACAGATGTATACTTGTTCATCATTTCTCACTTTTATCCCAGATTTTTTTAAGTTTTCTTGAATTCTTGTCCGCTATTTTTCAATTTGCAACAATTTTAACTTCCCAAGCGTAAGCTAAGGACGTATAGTAATCGAGTCCATCGAGCGAATTGCCACTTTCATGTTTTCTCAACATTTCATGAACCCTAGAGTACGAAAAATGTGATTTTCCGTCTGCCAGTCTGGCGTCTGTGTCGATTTTTATTAGACACGTAATCTCTGAAACAACTGGACCGATTGCTGCCAAATTTTGTATGGATATTAGAAATATCCCACCAACAATTTAATGACGTCACCTCAATTCTATTTTTAAATAATTTCAATATTATTCAACAATACACTACTATACTTAAGCGTCCAAAAACATTTGCAAAGTATAATAACATTTTACCACTAACACGGGATATAACGGTTGGTGGAGCTGTTAGTCATTTGGACAAAAACCGACCTTTGGTCGCACGTTCGATACCAAGCTTAGCCGTTTCTTTTTTTTTTTTTTCTTTTGTGACTAATAGTATCTATATGCTGATGACATTTTTTTTTTTGGTCAAATTAAGAACGAGTCAGACTATTTTCTCGATAATGTGGGACTGCACACGTCTTTATTTAATAATGATCAAATAAGAATTACAATATTCAGGTAATAAATTGAGTCCTCTGTTTTGAGAAGACAAATTCATTAAAATCGAACTAATTTCTAGTGACATTCTTTCGATGTATAAACATGAACACTTGAACTTAAGCTTGTTGTTGTGCTGAGAGAGCATTTTTTCCGTTGATTGTCTGCTTTAAATTATATTTTACGTTATCTGTACTTGGGAGCGCATTTTATAGAGGTTATTACAAACAAATTTTATCATTTTTAAAAAAGCGGAATTTATCGCATTATACTTCAAGGGCGAGGGAATTTCTGTCGATATTTTTCTGCCACCTCAATAGTCTCCAGAATGATTAAAATATAACAATTTTAAGAGCCACATTCGCTGCAATTTGGGGTACAATGTTTGTTGAGAGTATCCCAAAAGGCTTCCATGCGAATTTTATGTTTTCCGGTGAATGTCAGCGTTATGTTAAAACATGCGGGAAAACTAAATCTGTTAATTTCACCAACACAACAAGCACATTAAAATTTAATTAAAAATTACGACACCTTCATATCACGCAAACTATCGTTGTCAGTATAATATCATTTTCACTATCATTATTAATAATAAAAGTTAAATCATGCAACACAAAAATTACAAGTGTTTTATTCTACTGATGTTTGAAAATATTATGAGATCTTGACAGAAATGTATGTACAATTACCCTAAACATACCGCAGTGTATTTTACTTTAAGTATCTGGAAAACATCTTCATAGTGAATAATTTTCACCCCCAATGCGTAAAAATTTTGAAAGCCATAAAAAACTTAAAACACTTAAATTTTTCACACTACGGCCAGCGCAATACGTTAAGCTCGAGTTCACTCTGCGTCGCAGCACCGTTTCAAGTTTAACTTAAACATTCAGTTTGATAGCCTCTCGAGACGTTTCAAGCGCATTTCTCCGGCACATAAAGTGTACATTTTTTACCGTCGCTCTTATCCCGCCTTTACATTTTTGATAAAATCGATAATTTCCATCCATCAACTCACCTACAATCGTCAAATTGACATGAGTGATTCTGGTCGGCGAGCTGACAAAATCGACCCGACAATGGAACATCTCTTCGTCACTCAGTTTCGTGGGCGAGATGCTCATGACGGCCCTCTCAGCGTCGAGTATCCGCAGGAAGTATCTGTTCTCGAGGGAGGCGTCAGCCCAGTGCTGCGGCCTGGGGCTGCGCACGTCGTACTTGTAGATGGGGCTCTCCTGGGTGCCCCTGTACCACAACACCACGGTCACCTTGTCCGGGGGGTGCGAGGGGGCGAGGCTGCATGGCAGCGAGGCCGTGCCGCCGTCGGAGGCCTCCGCGAACTCGGTCGCCGGTTCCGCCTCCGAACAAGTCACTAACAGCACGAGGACTAGCACTAGGAAACCCGCACTTGACATCTTCATGCTACATGACCGGAAGTTGGGAAACTGTTTAACGCTTGGACACGGAGTCGACACCTTGGACACTGAGGGAGGGGTTTTTCGGGGGTTACACTAACATCCGGACGACGGGGACACCACGCACGACTTCTGTAAACAAAAACAACGTTACAGGACACAGTTTACATTTGCATAATGGTGGATGGTGAAAGATTAATTCATAATCAATAACTGGAAAAACGTGCTTTAGCGGAATAGTTTTACGACAAATTGATGTGTTTTCAAACAAATGAGGGCTTTAAGGCTGTTGCAAGGTGGAGCGCGCAAAAAGTGGCGTCTAACTAAGCTCCTTAAGGATCGTTGATTAAATGGTGCTTTGTAGTGAATACGCACAAAAATGATTAATCGCTTTGCTACCATATTGATGGAAAAAAAGTCCTCTACTAGACCACGAAATTTATTTTTAAAATAATCATGTTAGCATTCCAGCTACTTGACACTGTGTTTGACAGTTATTTGACCGTAACTGTCAAACTGACACACATTGGTATTACGAACATCATAAATTTGTTAGAGTTAAAATTTAGACAAATGCTTGGATCAGTTTATTTACTATTAACACAAAAATTTGATTTAAATGTTTAATAGATGGAACTTTCCTCGCCACTGAACCGCAATCAATCAAATCCACTTTCTTACATATAGCTGGTTTCACCAAAAACGGGAAAAATGACAGTGACATGAACATCATATTCCCATGCTTTTTATTAATCTATGAGAACCTGATTTGTTCATCTTTTCCCGTTTTTTTGTGAAATCAGCTGTACATTATAAAATTTAATTTAAATAAAGTTATACAAGGGCTGTTAAACTAGAGGTAAAGCAGCATGCTATGCCTGTGTTTCAAGTGACCAGGGTCCTGTTGCACAATTCTTACAAGTCTAATAATATTAGTTTTGTGAATTGTAATTTGTGTATATTTTATTACCTGCTCGTAATAAAATTTTGTGATGACACCGTCAACTTTTTACCAAGGACACATATGTCAGTTTGAATAAATACAGTGTAATACTAATAACAAGAAAAACATTTCTGGAAGATAAGGTAAACAGTTGTTGAATCAGTAATGCAAAATATTCGTTTTCTAAAATACCTACTTCTCAAATTTCACAACAGTCCAGTAGTTTCAGAGATTATTTCTCTAATAAAATCATCATTAGACCACAAACCATAGATAAACAACAGAACAGACCGACAAAACTGGGGACTTACTTTTTCATACTGTCGAAGGTGAGTAAACATTAAATTAACTGTTAGCCAAATAGATGCTATTAGTTAAAATAGTTTCCTAAAAAATGAAAAATTGGGTCCCCTATTTCCATCTGTCTTTTGCCATCAGCCAATACTACGGACATTCGACAAACCTTCTTTCTTGCACATTATAGAAAATAATAATAATAATATATATTTCTATGACAAAAAAATATTTCATTTTGTAAATTCTTGCTTAACTGTTTATTCAACCAGCCCAACTAGTTTGAATCAAGACAGGTCTCAGATATCTCAAGTAGTTGATTCTTGTTTGAATCTTTTCTAAAGTTCAATCATAGATTAGACACACTCTGAGATTTTCAGACGTTTTCCAGCAATTTTGCTGACACAGAAACTGATATCACAACAACGAAACGATGAAGTGGGTGAAAATTGTCGACCACAGCAAAGAATTATATACCAGATCAAATTTCAACGAAACTAAAATAGTCAGTAGCTTATAAAATCCAGACAATTAAAAACATCATATTACTCTTTGGCCACTTTTGCTTATCAAATGTCCCATTCTGTGTATGATCTTCAAACACGCCTTGCATTATCATAACCTGAGATAACCTAAATTATTTAAAATTTGATAATATGAATTATTCAAAATTTGATAACTTGAATTATTTAACAGTTGATTACCTGAATTGTTTAAATTTTCTTTGTTTTTCATTATAGAAGATACTTGTACTGCTGAACCAACGCGGGAAAAATTGAGACAAGAGCCTGAAAGCCCGAAATTTGACTTTATTTAAAAGAAAGTGATATTTGGATTCTCAATGTCCAGATGATCCCATCCCTTTCTGTATATTGTTTTTGAAGTAATCTGAAAGAATCTTCGGGACAACTTGTGTCTGGTTTTTGAAGTATGTAGTTTAAAAGAATTTCAGCAAACCCTTGTGCTTTGTTTTTTAAGTAGTTTGAAAGAATCTCGGAGACGCCTTTAGTTTTGTTTTTGAAATAGTTTGAAAAAATCTCAAGGACTCCCTTCGTTTTGTTCTTGAAGTAGCTTGAATGAATCTCGGCGATCACTTGTGTCTGGTTTTTGAAGTAGTTTGAAGGAATAGTCGGCGATCCCTTGTACCTGATCTTTGAAGTAGTTTGAAAGAATCTCGAGGACCCCTTTTGTTTTGTTTGTGAAGTAGTTTAAAAGAATGTCGAGGATCTCTAGTGTCTTATTTTTGAAGTAGTTTAAAAGAATTTCGGGGATCCCTTTTGCTTTGTTTTTGAAGAGGTTTGAAAGAGTCTCAGGGACCCCTTTTGTTTTGTATTTGAAGTAGTTTGAAAGAATGTCGGGGATCTCTTCTCTTGTTTTTGCAGTAATTTGATAAAATTTCGGAGACCCCTGATGATTTGTTTTTGAAGTTGTTCTCAGAAACTCCTTGTGTTCAGTTTTTGAAGTAGTTTGAAAGAATTTCGGGAACCCTTGTTGTTTTATTTTTGAAATAGTTTGAAAGAATAACGGGGATCCCTTGTGTTTTATTCTTGAAGTATGTAGTTTGAAAGAATCTTGGGAACCCCTTTTGTTTTGTTTTTGAAGTACTTTAAAAGAATCTCGGACACCTCTTTTGTTTTGTATTTAAAGTAGTTTGAAAGAATATCGGGGATCTCTACTCTTGTGTTTGCAGTAATTTGATAGAATCTCGGGGAAACCTTTTTGTTTTGTTCTTGAGGTAGTTTGAAAGAATCTTGGAGATCCCTTGTTTTGTTTTTGAAGTAATTGGAAAAAATCTCGAAGGCTGATGATCAAGGGTGGATTTAACTTTGAAGTTGGAAAACCGAATACTCTGAAATCTTGCAAGCGTTTTTTAATGGAAATTTTCACGTTTACGCCCCCCTCATGACGTCTTCTTACAATTTTGCCGTACGAATGTTATTTAAATTTTATAAAATAACATACTCACGTATGTGTGATTTATAAATCCATCTTTAGGTATTACTCTAGCCATAAAGACTTTTGAAAAAAAAACTCAAAATTGTGTAACAAATTTCAATTTGATAATTTTTCTAAACTGTAAGTGTTTGTTCGACTGTACGTTAGGTGCGAGGTAAATTCGCTCGGAATATTAGTCAACCAGTTTTTCCTTTATTGCGACCTATTTGAAAGCTCTTCATCTTTTATTCTTAAAAAGATTTTGTTTTCTGTGGTTGCTAGAATAACATAATGAAAAAATATATATTTTAATATTTTCCGACAGAATCTTTTATAAGCAAACAATAGCCCCGGCCACCCACCCTCTCTTCATTTCAGTGATTACTCTTGATATTGTTCAGTCATTTACCAAAATTAGAATTATTTTTTTTTTTTTTGTTATACTACTTATTTGCTATAACATTTATTTTTTATTTCTGGAGAAAAAAATTAGAGAGCGGGTGGGTGGGCGGGGCTAAATTTAACTTTTCCCAACAGAGTCCTTTATAAGCAAGCGATAGCCCCGCCCACCCACCCTCTCTTTATTCCAGTGATTACTCTTAATATTGTTCAGTCATTTACCAAAATCAGTATTATTTATTTTGTTATACTACTTATTTGCTATAACATTTATTTTTTATTTCTGAAGAAAAAAATTAGATAAAGGGTGGGTGGGCGGGGTTAAATTTATCTTTTTCCAACAGTCTTTTATAAGCAAGCGATAGCCCCGCCCACCCGCCCCTTCTTCATTCCAGTGATTACTCTTAATATTGTTCAGTCATTAACCAAAATCAGTCTTATTGTGTAAAGTAAAATCAACTCGAAAATGCTGGATATGTTTCATTATATTTTAGGTGCGAGGGAAGTTCTGTGGAAGCAACTTTCGATTAATTTTTTTGGATTTGCTTATACAGGGTGAAAAAAAATTAATGCGTAAATTTATTTATTGATTTAATCAGGAACTGCAAAACCGAATGCTTTGAAATCTTGGAGATGTTTTAAGCATGGTAAATTTTTGATCAAAATGTATTTGCTTATCCCCCCTAAAAAATTGATGACGTTAGCTCAAAATATTGCTGAACAAATCCTGTTTTAAATGTGCAAAATATGATAAGTCTATACTTGGGATTTATGACTACTACTTATACAGAGTGAATTAAAAAATCAGTCAGTTTAAATTAAAATTTCAAAAAACTGAAAAATTCAGAAATTGAAACATTCCCAAAAGTGTTGAAAAATTGATCAATCGAAAAACCGAAGTTAAATAACATCAGTTTCATAAAACTTGATTCTGCGAATTTTAAATTCTTTTGTTTCTGAAAAACCCTGTAAGTAATAAGATTATTAAATTACCTGCGTGTGCTTCAAGTGAGATTTTCTTAATAAACTTTTCGATAACGCCATCAAATTTTCAGGAGAAACAAATACAACAATTTAGGTAGATATGGTGTGAAACTAGTAACCATAACAGTCTATTCGTAAAAAATCGAAGTGGTTGTTTTAACTAACACAATAAATAAGTACATAAGTAAATTGCTTGATTCATGAAAATTTTTGAGACACTCTGTATAAACAATTCTAAAAATACAACTGCATGAAGAAACTACTTTAACGACTTTACACTGTATGTGATCAAATTCTGATTAATAACTTATCATGCTCACGATAGCCACAAACTCTGTACAAATTTTGAAAGAGTAATCCACATTCACTTGAAAAGCATTGTATTCTTGTATATACAGGCTGTTGACGAAGGATCAGCGTGTAGCTTTAATATCCTCCCATAGAAGACAGTTATGATTATGAAGAATATTTAATAGCGGAGGCGTATTTATTTCCATGATGAAGCGCCCTTTAAACTTTGCTTTAAAGAATTTATAAGCACCCTCCAGTCCTTTACTGCGTAGGATGCATCAAAAAA